TAAAAATTCTCATACAGAATGTAGGCTTCTATGGTTCTTTAATTTCATGTCAAAACAAATATTATTTTAATACATAATTTTAAATATAGGAATGTTACATCACAACGAATAAATATTTTTGTATACCATTTTCTAAATTGTCAAATAATGATGAGGACATGTTCAAAATTTTGAGTTGGCCGTTTCGCCAAAACTCATTGTATTGACTACGACATGCTTTGTAAATTCATTAACCTCATTTTTATAAAGGAAGATTACATTGACCTCTTTGAAATTTAAAGAAGATATAATAAATTTTATAAATTTAGTATATTTATATTAGACACTTTCAAAGTTTTAATTTATGTAACACTTGACGCAATTTTAATAAGAAATTTTTTAGTTGTATGAATGAAAAAATAATATTATGATATCTTTTATACTCAAATGTATATTTTGTATTATTTATCTTTTGTTTTCATACCATTTGCATTAGTTTCAATTTCTTTAATTTTACTAAAAGGGAAGTCGGTGTTATTATGTCAAAATTATAGAACTTACTATATTGTATCTACACTACAACAAATTACACTTTTGACGACTAAATTTTTAGTCACCAAAATTCATTTTTTTTGGCGCCAAAGATTTTTACCGCCTAAAATTCTTGGTCGCTCATTTGGTCATTGACTGATTGTCGGCAAAAGAATTGGCGACTAATTTTTTTTAGTCGCAAGTTGCCAATTAGCGATTAAAAATTTAATCGCCCAAAAGAAAATATTTAGTCGCAAAAAAAAAATCATCTTCAGCTCTTTAGCTACCAATTTTTTAGTCGCTAAAAACTTCACTCATTTTTGGCTAACAATTTTTTAGTCGCTAAATATGTGACACTCCTGTTTGACTACCAATTTTTTAGTCGCTAAAATCATGGTACTCCCGTTTAGCTACTAATTTTTTAGTGGCCAAAAACTTTTTTTTTTTTTTGACTACTAAATGTTTAGTCACCAATAAGCTCCCTTTTTATTTTTTGGCTACTAAATTTTCAGTCGCCAAAAACTCTATTTATTAATTTTTTTTAAATGCACAAATTTAATATTTTTCATTAATTTCTAAATTATATATCAATGCAACCTGTAACCTGTACATACACAGAATAATACATCTATTAATTGTAATCTAAATCCATTATCAATAATATCCATTTCATTATCAATTATCCAAAAACTTTAACTTGTAACATCTTATTCCAAGTATCATATAAATCCATTCCAACCAAGTATAATCTATCTCAATTAAATATTAAATACAAAAACATTGTATTTCCAAAATAGAGAATTGTACAAAAATAGATGTCTTCCATATACAGAACAAATGCTCTTCGTATACAAAAATAAATATCCACAATAGTCCATGCAAAAGCAACTTGTAAAAAAAACAAAAAAAAAACTAAAAAAAAAACCATTAGCACTTATTCAATAAAATTGACATTTCAAATTATAACAATTATAAAATTAATAATTCTGATATTTATACTCTGCAAATTATAACAATTATGACAATTTAGTAGCAGACAATTATAACAATGAATAAATTAGGACAACATTCGAGTAATTTAATAATTATTAGAATGTTATCTGTGGGATTCATAATGAAAATCAAGCATCTGGAATATTTAGTATATTTTTTTTTTGATTGGCAAAGGGAAACTTTATTGATAAACACAAACATAATACATCAATAAAAAGGAGCTTGCAGCTAAACGAAGCTCCAACCTCCTCGTTGGTGAGAAACCAACGCAAAGACAAAAAACAAAAACAAAAACAAAAAGAGCAACACCCAGCCAGAAAACAAAGCTACTCCCAGCTGCAAAAAAAAAATATAGTAAATATTCTCCATTGAAGAGCTCATTCTCCACTAAAATGAAAGAGCACATAGATATATATGCACACACAAACATGTATTCAAAAGATAGAATATAAGTTGTAAATGAACCTGAGCAAGGTCGCTAGTGGCATAGTCACAAAATAGCAAATAACCATTTGGCCGGAGAAAGAAAAGTTGAAATCACATAATAGTAATATCAATTACAGATTTTCAAAATTTCATAGTGGCATTTACTAATCATTACCTTAAGAACTTTTCTGATATTCGGCAACACCAGTGGCATCTTCTCAAGGGATACAGTAGACAACATGAATATCTGCTTAAAAAGTTAGCTAGGTAACAACAAACATTACAGGAAAAGCAAGTAAACTCAAGATCTGAAACAAACTCTAAATGAAGCACTCCTACAAGAGGAAAGCACTTGGCATCAATAAGTTGAACAAAATGAGGATGTTGTCACAGCATACATGTCATACACTCATTCTTAGTCTTATGTTTATATAAATATATCTCCAACTTCAAAATTATCTACACACAGCTCATCCTCATCACCACTATCATCTACTACATTCACAAATGGAGGGAACAGTTACAGACTCTGCTAGTATTGCTTCTTTAGCAGATTACATCAACAATAAATTCGAAAAGCTTAACATATTAATAAGATTGGAAACAAACTAAATTGATTGAAACCAATTTTATCTATAGCTACCTAATGGGTAATTGTTCACTAACATATATGGATGTAAATTCTTGGCAGGTGAACAATGCAGAGGTCAGCGGAGTTATAAATATTTTTTGCCGCCAATTAATTTTTTAAATCCCTCCAAAATTTCAAATGTCTCCCTCCAAATATTTTATTTTTTTGGCGACTAAAATATTTTTTGTCGCTAAAAATATGTTTTTGGTGACCAAATTTTTTGTCGCCAAAGATAAAAAATAATTTTTTGTTTTACATTTGGCGACTAAATTGTTTTAGTAGCCAAAACTCAATATATGGCGACTAAAATATTTTTTTTGTGGTCAATTCTTTTATTTTTAGCGACTACAATTTTTTTTAGTCGCCAATAATCAATATATTCCGACTAAAAAAAATTAGTAGCTAAATATTATACTTTTGCTGACTAAAAAAATTTTGGTTGCCAATTTTACAACTTATGGCGACTAAATTGTTTTTAGTCGCCAATTTTAGTCGCCAAAGGTACATTTTGTTGTAGTGCCAAATTTTAAAAGAAGTTAGTACAATTTGCTCTTTTTATAAATATTTAGATGCACTAATTTTTTTTTATTGTCGAATTGTTTTACATCAACGAGAATGGAAGAAGATGGAAGGTTGAGAACATAAGGTTTATCTTGCCAATGAAAATTTGTCTAGTGTCCAGGTTTCATTCAATTTGTTATAGATTTGGATGATGGAAAAACGACCAAGTACATGGCTATTTTTCATTAAAAATTGTGATGTTTATTTTTTATTGAAGTAAATTAAGATAAAATTATAATTTCAAAAGCAAACTTGAGTCTATTGAAGATATACTAATCAAATTATCTGAGTGCTTTTATTTACGCCACAAATTTAACTCATTATACACTCATTTTAAATTCTTTTTATTACACTTTTATCTCGTTGTACAATCTAAAAACATAAAAGGATGTCAATAGAAATTCTCAGTATACTCCTCTATTTCTTCCAATCACCCAACCACCATTCCATTGCTTCTACTCCACCAATCATCGTCCCTTTTTTCTCACCCTCTCTATCCCTCAACAACCCTGACACAATTACCATGAGAACATTACCAAAAAAAAAAAAAAAGTAATAAGAAAAAAAATAATTTAGAAAACGCACACTTAATAGATAATAATTGTAAATAAATTATATACAATTTTTTTTTTTTTTTGTATTTAAGAGATGTCAAGAGGCAATTCTTTTGTATTTTTTTTATTTAGTTTCATATTATTTGAAAAAAAAAAATGAAACTCTGTTCGGTTTTGAATTGTCAAACAAATAAGGATTGTAAATTTTTTAATAATTATACATTTGAAGAGATAACTGTGATTGAACATGATTAATTTCACTATTTTGATCCATTTGACTGTTAAATCCGAACAAACTTAACTTGTTCGGCAGTTTAATTGAATAAAACTCAAATATAAAAAATAAATAAATAAAATCCGCAAAAAGTCGAGTTGCACACCACCTCCTAATTTCTTCCTTTGCCCGTCACTGTCATCATCTGTGGTTATGGAGGAAGAGCTTGAAAAGAAGAGAGAGAGAGGTAGAGAGAAAGGGGAAGAGAGAGAAATATAGCCAATATAAAGAGAAAGTGTAAGGTAAAAAATGATTATATATTTAAAATTATTGGAAGTGCAAAGAGATAAACTTAAAATTTTAAATCTTGAAATGATGTAATTACAATTTGCTTTTTTGACAAAAAATTGAAAAATTTCAAAACTAATTTGATGAAAAAAAAATTTAAATAAAAAATATTCATAATTTTCATATGATTTTATCTTTTTAAGGTGAAAATAATTTTGAAAATTAAAAAATATCTTTTTATGGTTATTTGTTTCAAATTAGTTTCTATGATTTCAATTTTAGGTAAATTATAAATATGTTCCTAAAATTTGTTTAAAATATGAATTATTTTTTATAGCTTTGAAAATTATATCATGTTTCTTCAAATTATAATCGCATAAAAAATGACTCATTTTTATTAATAAATCATTAAGTCAATTAATAATTTTTAATGAAATCAAAAATATATTTCAATTAACAATTCAAATAATTTTATTATTGGCCCTATTGAGTATAACTTTTTTTAAGCTAAAAGATGATAATTAAAAAGTAGAAACTAAAAGTACTCTTTTCTCAACTTTTAAATAATAGTTTTTTTTAATAATTTATTTAAGTTATTTCTGTCTAATAAATTATAAACAGAAACTGCATTAAATAATTTGATATAAACTCTTAAATTAAAATAAACTATAATTATCTCCTAAAAACTGTACCAAACAGTCTTGTTATATAAGGGTGTAACTAAAGGGATTTTTAATTTCTCAAACTATACAAGAAATATATTTGTAATTTATCCCTTCTTTTTTTTTTTTTTTTTTTTTTTTTTTTTTTGAAAAATGAAGCAAGTGAATATGACCACCAAATTGGGCATCGGACTGAGCCTTAAACCCTAACCCCTTCTCAGACCCTCCATAGATTCACCTTCGTTCTCGATCCATTCCTTCAACTCTCCAATTCTAACCCTAAAATGGTTTCAAACGCCGACGAAGACGATGAATTCTCCGGCAGCGACTCCGACGAGGGCTTCAACGAGGACATGGAAGCCCTAAGGAGGGCTTGCATTCTCACCGGAACTGATCCCCAAGCCCTCGACACATCCGTCGCTACCGGCGGTGTCGCCGCCGCCTCTGACTCCGACGAAGAAGATCTCGAATTGGTCCGCGGAATACAGCAGAGGTTAACGGCGTGTAATCACGCTGAGGCGCCCCTCTTTCTGAAGCTCGAATTGGTCCGCGGAATACAGCAGAGGTTAACGGCGTGTAATCACGCTGAGGCGCCCCTCTTTCTGAAGCCCCTTTGCACGCTTCCGCCGGCTGCCTCGGACGATGATGAGGACGATTTCGAGACTCTTCGCGCGATTCAGAGGCGGTTTGAGGGGTATGATAAAGGTAATTGCTTTTGTTGGTTTGGAATTGGTGATTGTGTTTTGTGTTGGTTTGATTGAATTTTGAATTGGAACCTGTTCTTTGAGTTTGCTGTTAGCTTTATAAAGATTAGAACTTGCAGGGGCTATGCATTGTTATATATAAGTTAAGATTCAGATGGGTGGAGGGAATGATTTTCCAATTGCTCCAACCAAATATATATATATATATGTATGTATATAATTGTTCTCAGATATTTTGTTTGTTGCACTCCCATTGGTGGATCATCTATTCAGAGTTGGACGAAAAGGGAGCAAGATAAATACATCTTGGACTGGTCATGAACATAAGCATTGTATTTTCCTTGTCTAGATGGAATACTGGAAATCTCTTCATGATGAATATAATGCATAGATAAAAATAGTGACAAATAGACAAATACTTAAACAAATAAAATTTTTTTTTTAGGGCATTTGCAAGTAATTGAATTTGATACAAGTTGTTCCTAATCTCAACTATTGTAGTTTTAAAATCCTATTAAGTCAGTGGTTTATTGTAGAAGTTGTAGGATTAAGCTGGTGTTTTGATTTTGCCATGATGGGCTAAATTGGTTCTGCGATTATTATCTGAATTGATTACCTCAAAATTTTATTCAAATTGTAGGGATTGAAGTGGCTGACCTAACAATTGTGGCAATAAGGTATCTAGCTTATGGAGTGGTAGCCAACTGAATGATTTATGAGACCAATGATGAGATCTCATGGCTTCAGACAACATCATCCAGGAATATTTCCTATCTCAAAGAATTAATTATGAAACAGAAAATGTTACTTGTTTGTATGATCTATTAGAGGGTTGTATGTATCTAGGAGAATCCTGGACTTTGTTTATCTTGCCATTCTGCTCTCCGTTTGGTGCAGCCAAAAGCTGCTTTATTGAATTATGTATCCTAGTCTGCCACCTTCTTGGCGTGATTTAACCTATCGGATTTTTTTTTTTTTTTTTTTTTTTTTTTTTTTTTTTTTTGGTGAAGGTTTCCAAACAATAAAGAACTCAAAATCTCAAATTCTCTAATATGTGGCACATTTTTCACAAAAGGGGAGGATATATATACTTGTGGAATTTGTATATAATAAAAGGTATAATTCACGCTTTTCTTAGAGAGGAATGGTTGGTGCTTGGTCCCAATTATCAACTATGATTGACACATTTCCACCCTTGCACAATTGTGTGCATGCATGGGCATATATCTGTACATTTGTTGTTGGTTGGTGGACCATGAATTCGTTACAAATTGGAATTTTGCCTAAATGATTTTCCATTATGTTGTTTTGAACATTTTGTTTTAATGTTCTAGTTTTTTTCTTCCATATGCAATATATTGTTCTTTAATAGAGAGTTAGTGAGCTTACTTATCCAAAAAAAAAAAAAATAGAGAGTTAGTGAGCTTCTTGATGGAATGTTTTCTTATAACCTAGGAAGCATGGGTGTGGGTACGTTGATATGGCAAACCATAAAAAAGTAGGATATGGGTACGGTCTGGTGTGCCCATAAAAATTATATTTTAATAATTTGTGATAGTACATGACATATAACAATTAAAAAATTAAAAGCAAAGAATAATTAAATTATTTTTGTAATGGTAAAAAAAAGAATCCTAAGTATTTCTTTTTTTTTTTTTGTAATTTCAAAAATACCCTATATTTGGTCCTGTTTGGGAACTCAAATTGAGGCTAAAATAGCCAATAAAATCAAAAAAGACTAAAATATCCAATAAGATAAAATGTTACATCCTACACATCAATTAATCACTTTTTTTTTTTCTCACAACCATCTATTCAACTACAAAAAAAAAAAAAAAAAAAAAAAATTTATCCCAAACACAACTTTTTTTCATCTAATAAAATAGCCAAAATGCTAACTAAAATAGCCAAGTTCCTAAACGAGACTTTTGTTAAAGTCTTTTTAAAAGAAAAAGCCTTTTTTTAAAAAAAATTATCAAAACAAAAAAGAAGTCTTTTTAAAAAAAGGCACAATATAAGTGTTCCAATACCCAAAAATTATATTTATGCCTAGAAGTACTTGAAACGTACCCATCTCATATGTGAAACGCGCCTATCTTGTACGCTTCCCGTACCCAAAGTATTTCGCATACCCAATGTGCATGCAACCGTACTTATATGAGTACTTGTGCCCGGTACTCATATGGCAATATTTTTAGAGTGCCCATGCTTCGTAGTTTGTTACTTATCTGATCTGTGTGCACCATGCACTGAATTGGTTATTTACTTAATGATATTAATAAGTTAGAAGCTTAGATCCAACACAAATTGGGGACCATGTACTATTCTATTTTGTTCCTTCTTTTTCTTTTTTTTTTTCCTTTTCTCTTCTTTTGTGGTGTTGTTTAATCTTGGATGCCGTATTGGTTTGATTGTTCCTTCTTCTCTCTCTCTCCTCGTTTTTTTTTTTTTGGCCCATACAAAAATTAACTGCCTAGGCTAAAGGGTTAGAATTTAGGATGACTTTTTGTTCTTACAAGGCTAGTGATCACAGTTATTTGGAACTAAAGCTCTAAGAAAGATGAGCACTCTGTTTGGTGTTGCTTTTGAAATCTATAGTGTCATCCTGTAGAATTGATTTCTCACAATGGACATCATTGAATGAACTTTGAAATTCAGAATTAAGAATTTGAGTGGTGCTTTTCTGGGTGGCTTTTTTTAATTAGAACTTACATTGTTATTGTGGTTTTGCTGCATGTGTTTATTTATTGTTCTCTGGATGTCACATAATTGGCATTTTTGTGCCTTTTAAATTTTTATTCATCTCCTTGTTTTTTTCTTTTTTCTATAGTTGGATTGCTCATGTAATTTAATGGTTTTTTTTAGCAATTGTATTTACCATGGTTGTTGGAATTGTGCAATTCATGATTCAATATGAGTTTCAATCAAAATGATTCAAATCATGTTGTTGTGAGCATCTTTTCATGTTTTTAATATTCCAATGCAGATAGTCTGAAAAGCAGCACGGAGAATGATTTGAAGAAATTGGAGCAGGTTCAGGCCACTAACGTAGCCTTGGAGAAGGAAACTTCCACTAATGTAGTTGTAGACAGAATTAATGTTTCCCAAGGATTTCCAGATTCTTTAGATGTCTACAACACCTCCCAGAATTCAGAATCAGTCAATGAAATTATTCCTGGGATCTGGCCATCTGGCTTAATTGAGTGGCATCAACCAGATGAACATAATTTAGCTATGATTTCACCTAGGGATTCTAGCTTCCCAAAGTCTGCACAGATGTTTGTTGATGCCATCAAGAAGAACAGGGCCTGTCAGAAATTTCTTCGAAGTAAGATGATTCAGATTGAAGCAAGGATTGAAGAGAACAAAAAGTTGAAGCAACGTGTTAAAATCCTAAAAGACTTTCAGGTTACTTGCAAAAAACGAACTGGGCGAGCGCTGTCACAGAAGAAGGATGCTCGTGTTCAATTGATTTCAGCTAAAAAGCCAAGGACTAATTCGAAGGTCATTCTCTTAGTCATCTTTATGTTGCTTTTTGATGTATTACTTCAATGTTATTTTATTGAACTTCAGACTAGCTTCAAAATTCAGATGTTTTGTTTGTTATATCATCATTTCACTCTTCTTCCCGTGAAAAAAGAAATTCCTATTTATATATATTTTTATGCGGTGACATATGCATATGCATAGTTATTTTCAATGTGATTTGGATAATTTAATGCATTATTACTGGACCTAGGGTAACCGTGGTTAGATTTTCAGCAATGTACATCTAGCTGGTTGACCTTGAATGTGCTACTCTTCCATCTATTATGCTAAATTATAAGAGCTGGCAAAATGTAGAAAATTACTTCAATATTTGTTAAAGGTCAATGATACTATGTATGGAGTACAGAATTGTGGCTCAAAATGTATGCATTCAACAATATGATTACTCTTGCATTTAAAATGATAGATTGGGCTTATTCTGTTTCAATTAAAAACTCTTTTAGTGGATATTGTTTTAATTTTATTTAGCCTCAAACAACTGAAAGGAGTAAATAAATAACTAAAAAATGAAGATAAGAAGAAAAGGGCTGTAGCCCAAGAACCATGGATACAAGACGGGAAGATTTAAAAAAAACCAGGTCATGGACATAGCGAAGCTCCGACAAAAAATATTTTTATTTTCTATGTATATAAATATTACATCCATAAACAGTTCAAATTTAATGAAAGCTAATACTAATTTAACATAAGAAAAGCTAAATTTAAATTAGCTAGAGACTAGATTTGTGTTGCATTAGGCTCCGAAGATCGTTAGAAGCCAGTATCTCAATTTCACAACAATGTTTAGAACTGTGTTGTGTTGTTGATGGTTTGATATGAGTTTTATATAATTCAACCCTTATGTTTCTAAATATTATACACTTTATGGTTCTTGCAGGTCAATGGGAAAAAGGTCTCTGCTTTATATTATGGCCCTGATGAGAATTGTCATGTTCCTATTTATAGAATGGTATTGACAAAATTTCCAATCTCATTGAGTCGGGAAAAGTGGTCAGATGAGGAAAGGACGAATCTTGCTAAGGGAATAAAACAACAACTCCAAGAATTGTTGTTTCAAAAGTCAGTTGATTTAATCAGGTATATTTTGTCATGATAAATGCTCTAGGGAATCCCAAGTCACTCATGACGTGAGTGCTTACATCTTATATGTTCATAAATATGAAACAACTTAATATTTTTCAAATTATTTTTGGAATGGGCAGCCCAATAATTTGAAGGGATATTTATTCATTGGCTTAAAATGTAGTTATTCTGGCTTTTTAGTTTATTTACAATCATAATTGACGGTATGAGCAGATGACTTATTTTTATTTGAGCCTATAGCACTAGTAATCCTTGTTTTTTTATTTTTATAATAAGAAAGTTTTCTATAATTTACAATGAATTCAATCTTTCTTGCAAGCATATATTGACTATCAAGTTTTTACTTGACAGTGATGTGGAGGGATCTATTGAAGATTCAAATGATTTTGGTAGCATTGTTGCATCAATTAGGGATCTTGATATCACCCCTGCGAATATTAGATCATATCTTCCCAAGGTTAATTGGGAGCGGTTGGCTTCTATGTATGTCACAGGTCATTCTGGTGCAGAATGTGAATCAAGGTAACTTGCTAATTTTTCCTAAAAGAAAAAAATATATTTTGAAGTTTGATTGTGAACTTTATGTACGTCCTGTCTCATTTTTTGAATTGTTTGACTCACTATGAGGTTCAGTGTAGAGATCTTTTTGCATAGACAATAAACAATGCACACAATCAAATATGATGCAAATATGCTAGAACAAAAAATTATTAGGGGAGTTATATAAATAACCATGGGGTTTTACACCTCTAGCAAATTTAACCTTGAGTTTCTAATTTTTTCAATTTAAGCAGACATTTAACCGGTATCAATCCCAAACTTTAGTCCATATCCGTTAATTAGAATTCATATAAGAGGGGTAATTTAGCAAATTTACCCATCTTCTTATGGATACTTTTGCCATGTCACGCCACCACCTACAACCTTCACATGCTCTCTTTCTCTTCCCTCGTCTTGTTTCAACTCTGTTGCTACACCTTAAAAATAATCCCATCACCAAAATCCAATCACACAACAAGCACACCCATCACCAGATACATGCACATAATATATTATATATATAATGCACATAATATATATTATATATATGTAACAATGGAATTGAGAGAATCTCCATAACCCAAACTTTTCAACAGACCAGTCCGTTTAGAGCATGCCCATTTGTTATAGTTCCTGAATTATTGGGTTTGATCTGTTCTTGAAGCGCTGTGTTAGGCTTTTCTCTTTCCTGCTATTTTATTCTGATGCTAACTTTCTTTCTCGATCACCATGAACCTGTTTGTCAGCAGTTTAATAACCATATTGTAACCTCATACTACTAATATTGCAAAATTAGCATATTATAGTTGACTTTTTAAGTGCTGAATAGCATCAGCGTGCAAGAAAATGTTAAGCTAAAAACATTCTAAGTGATTTTTAATTGAACATTGTTCTATCTTCAACTGGATACTAGAATTTCCAAATGAGGTTGGCCCAATTTTAATTGTTTTAGCTGCTTTGTTAATTGTTCCGTCGGATTGAGCAAATTTTACAGTTCTTCCTAACAAGTTTTGGCTTTGCAGTTTACACTATGAATTCAAATTATAAAGCTCCATGCGTTGGGTTTTGGCTTAAGAACTCTTATACAAAACATGTTGATTATTTACAAAAATAGTTGTATTGTGCACAGTGAAAGGTATTTTGCAAACCCAATTGCAGTTGATAGAGGGAAACAGGAGTGATAGAGAAATTTATGGAGTGTGTTTTAGTGAGAAAGAATGGGAGTGCAAAACTAGTTTCAATTGTTTAATTTTCTTGGCTATAATTGGCACAGTTATGACATGAGGATGGTGATAATAGTTCCATTGGGAGCGTTATTTACTAAATATAAGAATTTAAAATTCATAATGCTTACATCTTTATGCCTTGAGGTTTATGCCTCGTTTCATGAGGGGTAAAACGTCTCTTGTACTTGTTATGCATTTGCCTTTAAAAAACTTTAGTTAATAGTGATAGACGGAGGGTTGTGATTGACATCAAGTTGAGTTAAAGGCTTACAAGGGTAAAAATCATAGGTTTTTTTTTTTTCCTTGTAATTTTCTCAAATTCTTGTTTAGTATGCAACATGCTTTGTGGTTGAAACCATCTTGATATCACATTTTTATCTTTGGAGTTGTGAAGAACTTAATTTTTTCTTTTTTATTTATGTCTAAATTATTATGTATGTATATACATGAGGTTAGTGCAACTTTATGTTTGGTTTAGAGGAAGTTTTGTTTTATACCTTGTAACTTTGTATGGGACTGGTATTTCATGAAGTCTAGTGTGAGATTAGATGATTGTTATATGGACTTTTTTATTCACCCCGAAGTACCTGCCCACTGGATCTGACAAGGGTAAGTGTATGCAGTATGTGTCCAACTCTAGTGCCCAAACTAGGCATTTTAAGGTCTTACCCGGTACACGAGATTCTTGCTTATACAAGGGTTTGAGAGAGGTAGAAGGCAGATAATCTTGTCCCTACGTTTGTGTGTGTGGAGAGGTTGATTCCAGTGACTCGAACTCGCATCACATTACTTGGGTCAAATAGCACTTGCCATTGTGCCAAATCAAGACTCGAAATTAGATACTTGGATCCTCTAATTTTTGAAGAATTCATTTGACTATAAAGAATTTTTTTCTATCCTTTGACATGAGTGGGAGATAGAAATTCCCTTTCTTCCCCATAAATTCCATTTAATTTCAAGTACATCCTAAAGAGTAACAACATCGTATGTCTGAATATTAGGGAGGTTTTATGTGTGGACAATTACCCACACCCGATACTGTTACCATAATCCATGCAATATAGGGTTAGATTACACACTAATCCATATGCTGATAAATCACATAGATTTGACATTTTTGAGTATTTCATTCATAACCTCAATAAATAATATTAATTTCTGATTTGGTGCATTGTATGGATGAGATAGCTTTGGGCCTCCAGTCGAATATTTATTTTTAGCTGTGGCTAATTTTATATCCTTCCCCTTAAATGTGTGTATATAGGTTACCTTTTTTCCCTATGATTATTTTACTTCATCTATCTATAAGATAAAAAAGTCACCTTTCTGGTGCAATGCATGGTCAGTGTTCAAATTAAGTTGAAAAAGAGCATCTAAATTTTGAAATGTTTTATAAGAATTTGGCTGTCATGAACATGGTTCCTTTGTGGAAAGCATTCTTCATACACTTTCAATTATTTTTATTTTTTTTATTATACGCATGTTTTGTAGACTGCTGAAGTATGGGTGCGGCACATTTACAAAATGCTATAGAAAACTCCTGTGCCTGATGCTTCCCTGGTAGAAATATCCTTTCTACGTAGGAAGAAAATTATTTTAAGTTGGTGGAATGTTAATAACATTAGAGGTTCAGAGTGCAAATTGTGAAAGGAAATTATTTTTTATGTTTATGGATTTAGGAGGATCCAACTAGTGTCTACCGGGCTGCAAAAGAACTTGCATAGAGAATAATATCCCATAATAAAGTCAGTCAACGATCAAGAATAAGGTTCCTTCTCATACTCCATGATAAGCAGATGTGAGGAGAAATAGATTTGTCATGCCTTACTTTTTGGAAGCTTGTTCGCATTAGATCCGATATTTTTAAGAACCACTTTACAGAGTGACTTTTAATTGTGTGGGGGGGACTGACCAAATTATCTTGCTTGTACCTGAACTTCTGCTTGAATCTTGAGAACTTTGAAGTAATTAAAAGGACAGTTGTTTTCCCCTCAAGCGATTCGAGTGTTGAAAAGTAAAAGCAAAATGGTGTTGTTAATGCCATTAACAGATGTTAATCCTTAGATTTCAGGATTAGCAAGTTTTATAAGGGAAGTTGAACTTCAATGTAAACGTGTGATTAGCATCTTCTCTGGTGAAAAGACTTCACCATCTTGAGAATGTAATCCTAGAATGAATTGTTTCTTAACTAAACTTCATTCTAAAACTTAGTCTTGCAACTTGGATCCTCATCCAGTCTCAAAATGTGAGTCAAGGTGAATGCTTATTTGAAGTTTTTGATGAGATCTATGAGAATTTCTTATAATAACAGGAGGTTACAAGCTTTTTTTAGTTCGTTAGGGGGTTATCGAAATCACTACCTACCGCCAAGTCTTTGCCACCTCCACATTGATAGTTCCAAGCACGCCTTTATCTGTGGCATTTCTAGAAACCTGTTTCCCTTCTAGGAAATGTGAAACCTGCTTCCCTTCTAGAGATGTGGTGAGGAGCAGCAGACTTTCTCTGCAGCACCCTTTTTCATTTGAAACAAAGTGCCACCGTTTTCCTTCTTTTTCCCCTTAGAAAGGTAAGATATCTTTAGTCCATCAGATTATCTGTGGCATTTCTAGCTTCAGATTTCTGCAGTATTTTGATTGTTTTTGTGCCTTTTGATTTTGTATGAAGCATATATGTCTTCCACCAAGCTTGCATCTCAGACGTCTAAGTTGACCATCATGACAGAGACATAGCTATTGTTGGATTTGAATTAAAGTGCAAATCAATACGTATCAGGTGGGAAACCAGGACTGGGTTGTGTTTTACTCAAAATCATGGTGCTAAATGCACCTAGAACTTAAAATTGGCATACATGTTTGTGATGATGTCATGTTTTTGTGTCATTTTAACCACAATGATGATGTTGACACGGACTTCGTTGTTTGTAATTCTTTTTAGCTAATGTATTTGCGAAATTCGTGCAGGTGGTTGAACTGTGAAGACCCCTTGATCAATCACCATCCATGGGGTAAAATGGAGGATAAGAAACTTCTGCATATTGTCCAAGAAAGGGGGATCAATAACTGGATCGAGATTGCTGTCTTGTTGGGAACAAACAGGACCCCATTTCAGTGCTTGGCTCGTTATCAAAGAAGTCTTAATGCTTCAATACTCAAGAGGGAGTGGACTGAGGATGAGGATAATAAGCTTCGTGCTGCTGTAGAAGCTTTGGGCGAGAGTAATTGGCAGTCCGTGGCTTCTACTTTGGAAGGAAGGACAGGTACCCAATGCTCAAATAGGTCAGTTAACAATCCCATCGACAAATTTATGTTGAAATTTAAATGAGGCCATCTATAACTAATAAAGCAAAGTAGTCAAGTCAAGGTAATATAGTTTTGTGTTTTAGAAATGACACAGAAGTTCTCTTGGACAAACATCTATGTGCATCAAATATCTTCTATGTAAATTTATAAAATTTGTGTTCCTTTTAATTAAACTGATTATCTTTTGCCTACTAAGCAGATTTTGTAGGAGGAACAGTGGAATAATAGTTAGAACTGAATTTCAGCAGTTGTTCTGGTTGCTGGAGAGAACATAATTACATTTTTAATTATATAATGCAGATGGATAAAATCCCTTCACCCAGCCAGGCAGAAGGTAGGGAGGTGGACAAAAGATGAGGATAAACGACTGAAAGTGGCAGTGATGCTTTTTGGGCCTAAAACCTGGAAGAAAGTAGCTAAATTTGTGCTTGGTCGAACTCATGTGCAGTGTAGAGAAAGGTAAAATCTCAAACTTGGCTCCTACACAGTTGATGTGATTTAACAATAACGGTTGGTTTTGGTGGCAGATGGTTCAATAGCTTAGATCCTGCTTTGAATATGGGTCGATGGACTGAAGATGAGGATTCAAAGTTGAAAGCAGCAATTTCAGAGCATGGATATTGCTGGTCTAAGGTTGCCTCATGTGTGCCTCCACGCACTGATAATCAGTGCAGGAGGTAAAGTTTTGGAGACTAATAAATGGACAATATGTTCTTTCTGTCACAGTTTCTATAGTGTTACTCTGCTTTATTGTTTCTAATACAAACTGTCTGATCTGAATTTTATTTCTATTGCCTTGTCTTCTTTCCTTTCTTTTCCTGTATGAGTAGGAGATGGAAGGTGTTACTTCCACATGAAGTGCCACTGCTCCAAGCAGCCAGAAGGATACAGAAAGCTGCTCTTATATCAAACTTTGTAGATCGGGAGTCAGAGAGACCTGCTCTTGGACCAAATGATTTCATTCCACTAGCATTGACAAATACAGTTTCTGAATCTGAAAATGTAAATCTTGCTGGAAAACAGAAGAGGAAATCAAGGTAAGCTGGTTCGATACTGCCCCCCATTTGGTCAAACTTATTTCCAGCTTCAAAAAAGCTAGCATAAAAAAATAAAAATAAAAAAGCGCATCTCAAACCTAGTTTCAAAAAAGTTAGCCTATTTTAGTTTACTTTGAGCTAAAAAATGAAAAATAAAAAAACTGAAAACCTGGCAAGTTTTTCTACACAACATAACTTTTCAAAGCACAATTGCTTAAGCATGGAATTTCAAATTTTAAGCTAAATGAACTGCAATTAAGTTTTGCTGAACTGGTTTGTCTGTGATTGGTAATTTGGTATATTATTTAACATGTATTGTATTGATTTTGATTTATTTATAATTTACAGGAGGAGATCAGGATCCAAGGCAAACAGAAAAGTTTCTAGGTAAGTTGCCTTCTGGTTGTAGCTCTGTAAGAAAATGATACGCTGCTTATCATGATTTTATAACTGCTTTTATAACTGCTTTTGGTGATAATGTGCAAATAAAAACACTTATTAAGTCTTTGTCAGTCAGCCAGTTGCATAAGTTCGTGTTTTATGTTATGATTTGCATTACTTATGCATGTTACATGCTATTGCTGTCATTTACTTACAACAATGTTCTAAATTTCAGGTCGAAGAGACCTACAAAGGAAACTGAAATTAGTTATAAGGAAGTTCTGTTGTTAACTGATGGCAATGAGGTGGAGAACTTTGCTGGTGAAGGTGTCATTTCAAATAAGAGAGTAATGAAGCTACGCCCAAGGAAGAAAAGAAGTTATGAACCGAATGAAGATGTGATAGGGAATGGTCTAGAGGTTAGGCAATTTGATGGGGTAACAAAAAAGAGAAGGTCTTTGGGGAGGCGAAAGAGGACATTTAGGTATGATATTCAAGCTCTTTAAACTAGTTTTTCTTCCGTTTTCCTACTATTACTGTACTGATTCTGGTTTGATTGATCTGTTTGTACAGTGGGAGGCCAGAAGTGAATGAAATAGACGATTCGATGAAGGAAAGAACAATGGAGCCATGTTCAAAGAAGAATAAAGGTACAGGTCTTACAAAGGCTCATTTATCAGCTTATGAAGATTCAGAATTGTTAGTTATGACTAACGGAGAAGATGTTGGAGAACGTGGCGGGGATGCTATTGCAAAGAATAAGAAGGAAATTAAACCAGGTCGAAGAAAGCGTAAACGTGCCGAACCACTAGACGGAATATCAGGAATTATCAACTCGGCCAATATTGTGAAAAACAAAAAACCATCTTCGCCACATTTACAGGATGAGTGTACTGATCCGACTCAAGATCATTCATCATCTTGTCCGGATTCAACACCATTAATGATAACAAATGGTAACGAGGTTGAAGCATTTGGTGATAATGGTGAGAGGAAGAACAATACCCTCAAACTAGGTTCAAGGAATAGTAAATATAGTCGACTTCTGCAGGAACTTTCAGAGATAAATGATTCCATTGAAGTTGAGACCTTGGATGGTTGCGATGCTATTGTGAAGAAAAAAAGGGTAACAAAGCAAAGTTTGAAGAAGTGCAGTGATCCAAATCATTCTTTTTCTTCAGAGTCATTCACAGAAACCGATAATGAGGTTGAGGCCTTTGTTGGAAATGATGCTACAAAGAAACGAAGGGCTTCTAAACCACATTCAATGAGTAAATGTACCGATCACATTGAGACCTCTGGTGTGGAGAACACTACCTTGCATAGGAAGAGAAGAGCTAAGTTGCAGCCAAACCAAAGTGAAACTACTGAGCTAGTAGAGGTATCTGAAAGAATTTCATTATCTCAAAAGTGTTCGACATATGTTTTGTTGGATAATGATAATTCAAGGGCATCTGGTGTTTGCACACAAGAGAGGCTTAAAAGGTCACGGACAAGTGAGAGTTGTTCTAATCATACATTGGAAGCAGAAGACGGGGATGATGACATGACCCTTGCTTGCTTTATTAAGAATAATGTGAAGAGGAGAAGGCTTAAACTTGCAGAAAAGGGTAATGATATTTCAAGTCACTTGGAGGATCAACCAGGAACTATAGCTGGTGAGATTAATTGTGGAAAATCACGTTTGGTTGCTGGAGGGACATTGGCTTTTCATGAATCATTGATAGAACCATTGAGCATTGATGTTGAAGGAGTTTTTGAGGATGGTGATGATGACCCCAGTGACACAAGCTCTCCTCCCCCTGGGTTTGAGAATCCCATATACGGAAGAAGTCCATCCTAGTTGGTATGAACAGAAAAGGATTGCATTTTCCTGCAGTGTTGTGTTAGACTTTGTAATGAGAGAAGAAAAGAAAAGAAAAGAAAAGAAAAGAAAAGAAAAAAAGTGTGTAGGCATTTAGGTAATATATTGAAGGTGTTGCCGAGGAGTCAGGCCCTCTGATATGGGTATTTTTGTAAGCAGCAGAGACGTGTGACTTTGTAGTGTTTCGAAGTGTATAGTCATTTTTTGTTGAAGAAGAGCATTATTTGTTTTTGTAAATGAAATGGTCTGTTTGCATGACCCTGGTAAACTACAGTTTCTGGGATCTTATTTTTATTTTATTGTGTGGAATTCGATTCCGTCACTTCCTTACTAGAATCCCAAATTCCTGACTAAATAAATGTTAATTATTTAAAATTCACTTCCTTTTAATAGGAAAAAAAAAAAAAAAAAAAAAGAAAAGAAATTAAGTGTGTAGGCATTTAGGTAATATATTCAAGGTGTTGCCGTGGAGTCAGGCCCTCTGATATGGGTATTTTTGTAAAGCAGCAGAGAAGTGACTTTGTAGTGTTTCGGAGTGTATAGTCATTTTTGTTGAAGAAGAGCATTATTTGTTTTTGTAAATGAAATGGTCTGTTTGCATGACCCTGGTAAACTACAGTTTCTGGGATCTTATTTTTATTTTGTTGTGTGGAATTCGATTCTTTCACTTACTAGAATCCCAAATTCCTGACCAAATAAATGTTAATTATTTAAAATTCACTTCCTTAGTAGAATCTCAAATTCCTAACTAAATAAATGTAAATTATTTAAAAATTAAAAATAATAATTAGATTAAAAATATTTTAAAATTTATTATTTTTCAGTTTATAATTCCTAATGAAACACTTGAATCACATTCGTAAAATTTTAGTACCATCTGAACATAGCTTTTAGAAAAATGTTGCTGTCAATACTCCTATAATAAAAAGTTACTACGACTCTTTGTAGTAAAAGTTTCAATTTCGTGTAGCATTATAATGTGATTTAATTACGAATGACGCATGATAAGAAAATTTTATTTACGGTTCTTTATAAATATGTTATAAATATTGTAATTTAGATTTTGTCAATGTATGTTCTTAGAACATATGTTAAGAAGTTTAAAAAATTTATACATATATTATAAAAATTATTGTAATAAAAAAAAATATAAGAAAAATGCTTGGTCAACTAAAAATAAAGGGAGCCTGACTCTGCCCGAATGATGTAACCAGATGATTTGTTAGATGATTGACGTTACCCTTATCAACTAGTGTGTTAACCGAGATCTACCTGGATGATTGGCTAGACGACTTCTCAAATGATTTATCGAACGATCGGTATGTACAAATTTAAATAATTCGAATGAGACGAAATTCGTTAAATGCAACATTACTATAAACAAAGTCCTCGTTTGACATAAGTTAAAATGAGGTTGGGAGCTAAAATAGTCACAAAAAAATAAATAAGTTAAAAAGTCAACAAAACGAAATGCTATTTTTAAATTATAATCATTTTATTTTTTATCTTGCAAAAATAAAAAAATTCAAACAATTCAATTCAAATGAAACTTTTTAACCTGAGATTCAAAGAGTCAAAAAATTAAAATACTAACCCATATCCAAAGGAAACCAAAATCAAACTCGGATTTCTCAACACATGAAAAAAAAAAAAAACCAAACCCGATAACCCGCTCCACCCAAGAAGTGAAACCAGGATCAACTTCCCCAAGCCCTAATTCCCCCACAAAACCCACGTATATATATCTTCCCCCCTTCACTCTAACTAGTTCTAGGGTTTCCTCTCATTCATTCTCTCCTTCAGCCTCTCCCTCCCAAAAAACACTAGACGCAGAGAAACAGATTCACACACAAAAATGGCAGAAACCCTAGTTCTGAGAGGAACAATGAAAGCCCACACAGACTGGGTGACCGCAATCGCAACCCCAATCGACAACTCCGACATGATCGTCACATCCTCTCGCGACAAATCCCTCATAGTCTGGCACCTCACCAAGGAAGACAGAGTCTACGGCCTCCCTCGCCGCCGCCTCACGGGTCACTCTCACTTCGTCGAAGACGTCGTCCTCTCTTCCGACGGCCAGTTCGCTCTCTCCGGCAGCTGGGACTCCGAGCTCCGCCTCTGGGACCTCTCCACCGGCATCACTGCTCGCCGCTTCGTGGGCCACTCCAAAGACGTCCTCTCCGTCGCTTTCTCCTTCGATAATCGCCAAATCGTCTCGGCTTCCCGAGACCGTTCGATCAAGCTGTGGAACACTTTGGGTGAGTGTAAGTACACGATTCAGGATGGTGATGCTCATTCCGATTGGGTCAGTTGTGTTCGATTTAGCCCTAATAATCTTCAGCCTACGATTGTGTCTTCGTCTTGGGATCGGACTGTGAAGATTTGGAATTTGACGAATTGTAAGATTAGGGCTTCGCTTGCTGGGCATTCTGGGTATGTGAATACGGTGGCCGTGTCGCCCGATGGGTCGCTGTGTGCGAGTGGTGGGAAAGATGGGGTTATTTTGTTGTGGGATTTGGCTGAGGGAAAGAAGCTTTACTCGCTCGATTCGGGTTCGATTATTAATGCTCTGTGCTTTAGCCCTAATAGGTACTGGCTCTGTGCTGCTACTGAGGCGAGCATTAAGATTTGGGATTTGGAGAGCAAGACCATTGTTGTGGATCTCAAGGTTGATGCCAAGCAGGAGGCTGAAATGAACGAAGGCGGCGCTGCCGTGTCGTCTGGTGTTAAAAACAAGGTTTAGTATCGTTAATTTAGTATATATGGATTTTGGGTTTTTATTGCTTTTGTGTTTCTTGATATTTCTTGCCATTTAAATGTTTTTTTGATGTGCTTGTGTCGTAGATAGTTGATGAATACATATAGGGCCTGTTTGATTAAGAGGATTAATAGTAAGTGGATTAACAATTCATGCGATTACTCAGTTATACAGTTGGATTAGTGAGATACATAATTTTCTCTTGTTCATGTTTGTTTTGCAATAGATATGAAAATGTATAATCCCAATTATGTGGGTTTTGCGTGACTAGTTGTAGGATTAAAAAATCTGTCTTTGTTTGATAGGTCATTGGAATCTAATCTGAATAATAACATTTGCAACCTTACAATGGAATGTGAATCCCATGGATTAATAATTAGTCTTATGTTATGATCCACCCAGTCAAACAAGCCCATAGGTGAATATGATCTGACAATAATGATATTGGTTCTGAATCTTGTGATATGTGATTGTTGTGAAAATCTGGTTCGTGTTTTGGTAATTTTTTTAAAACGTTTGTTGCTAAATCTTTTTAGAATGTTGGGCATTTATACTTATCCAAAAAAAAAAAAAAGAAAAAAAAAGAAGGATGTCTGGCTTTTATCTTTTTTTTACTTTGGGATGTTTCAAATGTAAGTTCAAGTTCAGAATAATTTGTGAATATTGGTTTCATCTTCAGTCTTTTTTCTTGTATAATTGAAAAATCAGTATTTGAGATATTAATTTATACTTTGATATCTGTGTGTTCTGATTTTAGTATTTAGAAATCGTTTGAAACTAATTTGATCGGCAAATTTTGATTATGTTGTGTACCTTCAGTTGTGGGCTTATCTCTATTTTCATGGTGAATTTATAGGTTCAGCTCTTGTTTTTTTATTTGCTACTAGTGATTTGCTTGTCAAATCAACAATTGTCGATAAAGGTTTCAAAGCGATTTACTTGGATTTTTTGAGTTCTCTATTTGTTAATGTACTTCATGCATGCTATTGATAGAGATTATACTGCCAATTAGTGTTCCATCTTCTTGGTGAGCTGTACACTTCTTAGTGTAATTTACTGATATTATGGGTTGAATGTTGGGAATACATCTATCAATTATCTCATTTAAATGTTTTGTATCATATTGTGAGGAATAGATAGCCCCGATGCTTGTCAATAATTGCATTTTATTTCTAAATGCCTGCCTGGGCGTTCAAATATAAGTTCCATTTTAACATTTTGATGGTCTCAACTGCACCACTTGGCATTTTTATTTTTTTTATTTTTAAATGTATGCCCACTTTCATATTGTACTTGTAGGGTAAAGTACAGCGATCTATTTTAATGTTCATGAAAAATACAGCGAAACCTACAAAGCTTGACGTGATTACCTTTAATTTATGTTCTTATAAAACTTTGCTTACCATTATTCATACTGTTTGTAATGTAAATGTAAAAGATTGTTGCCATTTGTTCTATGCTGAAATCAATATTTTATCTTTATATATGCATGTGTCTATACACTATTTGCATTAGTTATACTTGTTTTACCCTTGCTAAAAATGTGGTTAGTGTAATTATGACAAATTTGTGAGTTACTGTTTGTTTTTCTATTTCTTTTTTTTTTTTTTGTGTACTTCAAAAAGGGTCATGTAATTTATCTTATATTTTAATCATGGGTATTATCGTCTGCATATATTCTACTAACTGTTCCCCGAATTTGTTCTGGTTATTGTTTGCTGGCTTTGCTTGGGCGTCCTATATACCTTGCAATACAATTTCTCTCTTGTAGCTTTATCCTTGCTGTATGTGAATCTATCTTTCTTGTAGTATTTTCTCTTCAGTTAATGGATGATTGCTGCTAGAAAATTATATCTTATTATTTTCTCTGCTTTTGTTTTGTTTGTATGTGCACATGTTTCTTCTACCACTCTTTTGCAATGGTACATTCTGCTGTTTCTGCAACATAAACCACTTAATTTTTTGATCTTCATTTCTTGATTGTCGGCAATGACAATTGAGGAAATAACACGAAGTGGTGCTTGTTTTGCATATTTTACTGAAAAGCCTTGACATTGTATGTGCAGGTGATATATTGCACAAGCCTGAGTTGGAGTGCTGATGGAAGCACATTATTCAGTGGATATACAGATGGCATTGTCAGAGTTTGGGGAATTGGTCGTTAGAATCTGTATTCTAGTCCACGAATTACAGAGTGTAGTACTTCCTCATAGTCTGAGTTAAATTTTTGGGAATGATATTTGGAATCTCTATCTCGGATGGCTTTGAGGCCTCTGCTATTTTGGTTTTTGGATATTTTATGAGTTGTTATATTTGCTTTTGACTATAAATCTAGTTATGCTTGTGTATTTTTTTTTAACCTGGTCAATTTGATAACTTGCTTTTGACTATAAATCTAGTTATGCTTGTGTATTTTTTTTTAACCTGGTCAATTTGATAACTTAGTTATAATTCTTATTTCTATTAATGATTGATTTCTTTGCATTTAGAAGTAGTGCAATAAATTCGGCCAACCAGGAATTTTTTTAGTTTTTTGATGAAAGTAACGAAAGGAAGAAAGTTTTTTAATTAAACATTAGTCTGTTTTTACTTTTATTATTTAAAGCTTATTTGAAGACTTTAATTTTTATTTTTAATCCTTGACAGTTTTTCAAAATAAATATGATGTTTGCGGACTTTTATCTCACTATTGGTTCAATACTACTGTCTCTTAAGACAGGACCCTAGTCTTTCTCTTCATTCAACTCAATCACTCAATTGGCCTTGTTCTTCTCTATGAGCTTTTCTCTACTCAACTGTCATCCTCCATCTCTTACTCACAGCACCATCGCCACCACTACCCTCACCTTCCTCACGGAACTCTCTACAACTAGCCACTTTCTTTTCCTTCACTTCCACCATTGCCTTGCCTCTTCTCTCCCTCGCAACACTTGCCACCACTGCCCGTACCTACCATTCCCCTTATGGCACAATAATCTTTTTCTTTTCCTTCCTTCCAATTTTCCTTCATTTTCTTCCATTCCTACTACCCTCCTCATTTTTTCCCCTCACGGCAGCAGCACCACCACCTCTGTTAACCCTTTTCCTCTTTTCTACCATGCCACAGTACCATAAAGATGAGGCACCATTCATCTTTACCCTATCATGTCATACACACCATCCACCCCCCGATACTCACCATTACCAACACCCACAACCAATCCCAATCATTGTCATCAAGAAATCAAGGCCAAAAAGGGGGAAAAAAAGGTTTGTAAAAATAATAAGCCATGGTCGATTAGAAGCCGTGGGTTCAACCGAAAAATGGATTCAAGTCGAAGAAATCAATTTACAAGAGTCTCGATTAAAAGCCATGGTCACACACCTTACCCATCTCTTCATTTTCCTACTACATCATATAGGGGTTCATGATTGTAGTTTGTGAAAGCGTGCAATGGGACATCTGGTTGCAATGGAGGACCGGCTGTGATGACATGTGATCGATGACGACTTGTGACAAAGGACTAGCAACAATGACAATGATGTAGGATGAATGCATCAACGACAATATTTGAGAGGCTTTGTATGTACCTCTGCTGAGAGGAGAATTTGGTAGGGTTTGATTTATGTATACAAGGCTAAAACGACACACATTGTGATATAGAAGGGCTGTTAATGCAAGAGGAATAGCTAGTTTCAATAACTTTATTGAGAGAGCTTGATGTCATTATATTAAAATTGTGAAGTTTTAATGAGGTCACTTAATTTACCTTTATTTTTATTATTTTTATTTGACTTGGTTTGATATATATATTTTTTATATTTGTAATTAGCATACAAAATGGTTAAGAATTGATATACCTAATCAAAATCTATTACATGTGAAATACAAATAAAAATAAGGACAAAAAATGAAAAATCAAGTGCACACACCGAATTTACACGGTTCACTCAAAAATTAGGTCTACGTTATTGTCATGGTTTCACAATAATTTAAAAATTAAAAGATACAAAGATATATAAATATTATGTAACTTGAATTTGAGTTTATCCGCCGTAGACAAGTGTTGCACTAGTCGTCGGAGTGATCGTTCGAACAGTTGACCGACATGCATAAATCCAGACGATTTAAACAAACTAAAATTTGAAGGCCTTGTTTGGTTTGTGTTTCTCAAAAAATTTTGAAAAAAATTCTCTACAAATAAGTTTTCAAAAATAATCAAATCAAACAAATTTTTCTAAATTTTTTTTCCAAAACTTGTTTGGTTTACAAATTTTCTAAACAAATCTCTCTCTCATACACATCAAATCAATCACTTTTTCCAAAACTCTCTCTCAAAATAATTTTTCAAAACATCTTTTAAAAAAAAATCAAATCAAACAAATTTTCGTACTTTTTATCTCAAAACATGCTTCTCAAATACAAACCAAACAAGGCCTTAATATTTTTGTACATAAAAAACCCCCACAAAAGAGCAAATCCCAAACAAACAGAGCCTTAGATTTGTCCAACAGTGAGGCAAGTTCCCTCGAGTTCGAAGTGGCTAAAGAAACAGAGCCTTAAGATTTAGTCACGATCTCGCACGGGGTTAACCCTTTGTTCCAGCGAAAGAGAGTGCGCGTTCGCTTGATTCAGAGAGAGAGAGAGAGAGAGAGGATAATCCGGCCACTGTTGAGGCCGGTGGGAAGCAAACGGAGCTGTAGACGCCGGAATACAGGGAGAGATTGAATGTGGTTGGTTTACTCTTTATTTATTTATTTATTTCGGATTGAAGTTATAATGATCTGTATATTTGTGTTTTGTGTATATCTTTTGTTGTTGGTATTTGGGAATTTAGAGCTCAAATTGGGTATTCCGAGGACTAACACTGATTGTCCTCAATTGCTTTCTTTTTTTTTTATTTTTTATATATGATTTGGGATTTCTTTAGAGTACTCATTTTTATGACTAAATTTGTTTTATCTTCATCTGGGTACTGTGTAATTATAAGCAATAGTTTAACCCTCTTTTTCTTTTTGTTGATTAATTTTGTTTTGTTTTGTTTTTTGTTTTTGTTTTTGTTTTTGTTTTTGTTTTTGTTTTTGTTTTTCTCATCGATTTGATGTAATAGGGAGATTTGGAAAAGGCATAAAAAGAAGGTTTATTTTACAATTGGAGTTTTAGGAAGTGGGTATCTTCTGTACAAGCTTTATGATGCTCACAAACGCAGGCTCTCTGACCTGGAGAGAGAACTTGCCCAAGAGAGGGAAAATGATGAACTCATTAAAGCCCAGTTAAGAACAAAAGTCATGCTCTCTTGTTTTATTTTATTGGGTATTGCTGTGAATTCTGTCTTTAAGTGGAAATGTATTCATTTTCTGATTTTTGTGGTTTTCCATTGATATTGATAGAATGCAAGCGCATTTTGGGAACATTCAAAGAATAGCAGATACGGCAACATTGCCCCATTCGATGCTCTATTTGAGTAGTCGGGTGGCAGAAGAGCTAGACCTTCTGCACTTGACAGAGCAGCTAATTAGAGGGAAGGGTCAATCCAACTCTCTGTCATCTTCTGAGAAACTTGAGCTATGGGAGAAACTCAAAATTTTAAGTATGAATTGTTAATGTGATGCTTTCTTTAAATCTTAGAACTGTTAAGTTACTAGAATTGAGCTTCCCTTGTGCTGACCTTTTGTTTTATTGGTTTGTGCAGGTTTCACAAGAATGGTGTTGTCCCTTTGGGCAATGACAATGCTTAGCTTATATATTAGAGTTCAAGTCAACATATTGGGCAGACATTTATATATTGACACAGCACGTGATCTTGGAAGTTCTCATCTGCTTGTAAGATCCTACTCTTTTTCTCCTGTTTATTACTGAGAAAACAAACATGTACAACCCAAATTTTCTCATTTATACTTTTGTTGCTATATTAATCTTTCTCTAGTATTCCATATTTCTAAGAGATGCCTTATTAGGGTAAGTTTGAACCACTGATTAATAAGCCTTTCCCTTCTATAGTTTACATATGAAAGTAGTCCTTTAACGGCCAGTTGTTCTTTAAATTACATTCCACTTGTTCTACGTTGTACGGAGATGAATACATTCAATATTTATGTGGTCAAAGATCAACATTATCCTAAACTACAATGGAGAAGTTTAACTAATTTAGAAAAGCAAAGAATGCAGAGCTTTCGGGGATTTCCTGCACCTGTTTATTAGCTATTCTAAGGAGGCAGAGACTTAAATTCAGTTTCAAAATTATAGTCTGTTGATTGGGTACGTGTCTGTTGAATAGAGCAGCATTTTTGAGGTGTTGCCTATAGTCTGTTGATTGGGTACATGTCTGTTGAATAGAGTAGCATTTTTGAGGTGTTGCCTTAGAATTCGGATGTTATATTCTTCAGAATTCCATCTTTTATCAGTGCTTTTGCTTCCAAGTTACATGCTTGTTTATGTGTTGTATTGTGTTTGGTTTTGCTTGTACCCTTGGTTTTGTTTTATTGGTGTACCAAACAGGAGTAAGCAATATTTTGTTTGCTTTTGATTCTCTAACATGACACTCTTTAAAAAATTAATTGGTTGGGGTAGAGAGCTTAAAAGCTCAAGGAAAAGCTGTTTTGCCTTCACTTTGCTTGTAAACTTTGTAGTCCTATCCAATAGTTTACTATAACACATATTGCTATGGTATTCTGTTTTGTTTTTTTTTTTTTTGGAAATATTTCTAAGAGATGACTTATCAATGCTCCTGGTGTTATTTACTTGTAAAAATTAGTTAAGATTGATGAAACTTGTTCTTGGAAGCCTTGGATGATATTAGATAAAACAGAAAACAATAATGTAATAGCATAATTTTATGTTCCTACAATTCTCCCATCTCATCTTTTTAACATTCTTCTGTTGGCCCTGATTGTTTGTAGCTTATCTGAATTCATTCCTTTTTTATTATTGTTTTTATAGGATGAGGCTGATCTAATTGACAGAAATGACCAGCAGCAGTTTCTGGCAAGCGCTGATTTTCTTTCAAATTACGGCATGCCCACTTTGATTTCTAATATGTAGGCAGCAGCATCTGAAGTCCTCAAGGGGTAAGACTTGTAAAATATGGCAAGTGTTCATAAATCATAGTTTATGTTACATCAAAGGATATATCTTATAGATATTTTAAAAATTATTGTCAAGTCGCCAATTGTCCCAAAAGTTTAAGTTGATTGGAAATAGGCCCAATAATGTAAATCAAGCTAACATTCCCCCACACATGCAATCCTGTCTCGCGCGTGGAGAGATAAACAGACCGAGAAACAAGGTGCACAAAGACAGACAAAACAGAGTGCACAATGACAGAGATAATAAGGACAACTAGACTTGAACCAAGATTTCCCTGAATTAGAGCTCTGATATAATGTTAAGTCATCAATTGTCCCAAAAGTTTATGCTACTAGGAAATGAGCCCAACAATGTATATCAAGCTAACAATTATAATTTTTTTTAAGACTTGAGAAACAGATACGACCTAAATGAATGCTGATAAGGATGGAGATGGAGTCAATCAGGTAGTGTAGGGGTGAGATGACAAGCCCGTAGAGACTTGGGTCTGTTGGGAATAACCCCCAGAGATGTTTGTTTATATTATATATTTAAATTGCATGGCATTATCTGAAACAACTATCTCAAGTCTATCAAAATATTCATGAACTTTTCATTTGCAGAAAGCAGTTGAAGGATTTGTTCAACACCACTGTACTTCATGAAACGACTGTGCAGATATTGGACATGTTCATGAGCATGGGAAGCCCTCATCACTGGGTGGAATATTTAATGCCGGAGGATCCTAATTTCTACAAACTTGTTGCATTCTCCAACAGTGACAGCACAGATCCTTCTGATAGTACCAAATTTGATCGACTCATGGTGGAGACACGTGCAGTATTATCCAGGTACAATCATTTTCTTTCCATCATTTGCAGTTTTGTTTAGGTACTATTATTTACTTTCTGTTCCAACAGTTGAGAAATATTAGTTTTAGCTAAATGGGTGGTCATTATTTGAGACGGCAGTGCTGCCAATACAACCAATAACAATTAGCAAATCGATTCTTGGTTTGGCATGGATTGATTAGCTAATTGATCCCATTAATAGGGTTCGTACTCAATTATTGATATGGCATGAACTGCAGACGAAACTGGTGCAGAAGATAACCCATTTTTATTATTAAAATATTTTAGGGTAGATGTATTCTCTCAAATCCAATGGTCCAAAATGAGGTGCATACATACATCCTCTAACGGGTGTGTATGAACTCTTAGACAGAAAATTTGGGGATACTTCCAATCCTAAACATCAGATGACCAATCCTAGTTTGTATCTTCTTTCT